CGCCCGCCAAAAAGCGCTGGGCGGCCGGCCCGCGCCAGCCATTTAAATTTAAATGAAGCCGCGATTATTTTAATCACGGCTTCATTTCCCTCTTCCAATCTGGCTAATCTACATGCCTCCGTCGAAGGAGGCATGTAGTCTAGACACACCCTAAGGGTATGTCTACACTGCAACACTATTTTGAAATAACTAGCACTACTCTGAAATAACTTAGTCCGTGTCTACATAGCAGGCAGTAATTCTGAAATAGTGTCAAAAATCTGTCAAGCTGGAGGACTTCTTACTCTGACTCCTGTAACTCTCATTGTACGAGGAGTAAGGGAAGTCGGAGGAAGAGTGCTCTGTTTTGAAATAAGTGCTGTGAAGACATTCCCTATTTCGAAATAAGATACGCAATTGACGTAGCTCAATTTGCGTAGCTTATTTCGAGTTAAGCCCTGCAATGTAGACAGAAGAGCGAACCTTTGAGTACACACATACATTGGCTAGGGGACAGTAAGCAAAATACCTTGGGACGTGATACTGACTAAAGGAGATTATACCTTAGAGTTGAGAAAACCAACCCATCTCAATTGCAATGGGCCCCCACTATGTATTACTCATTGGTCAGCTTTTCACTGACACACCTCCTGGTCCACCTTGTCTTTTCCAGGGTCTTTGAGAATTCTTTCTGATCCCAGCATAGCATATTCCATTCTCCCCTGGATGGATCCAAGTTGGGGGTGTTCCCCAATAAATAGCTTTTCTATTTTTTTCCTGCAGGACTTTTATCTGTGTCAGCTATTTACCTTTCTGGTGTAGTTCCTATAATAAGAGCTATGTATAGATACAAAATTATATCCAGAGAGTGGTAGACCAATGTGCTGCTCCTTTCCCCACTGTGGTGCCCAGCAGAGCCCTGCCACACAGCAGATATCGGTTTATATTCACAGTCTTAGATATACATTTGTATTCTTCATGGGGCGCTACCTATTACAGGCCCCTTTTGATCTAACTCATAGTACAAGTCATGCCTCACAACAACCAAACACACAGCAGTCTGCACCATACCCATAACAAGTAATACCAGCATTCCCAGTTTGTCACGCCAACGACAGGGATCCAAGGTATTAAAAGCAAGTGAGAAACTACAGTGGGTATCAGATCTGCAGGACTGGAGAAGAATAACTATGGAAAATGGCCCAATTATGAATTAACTGGAATGAATTTGAAACAGCTAACTGAAGGTCATGGTGGCTTCTCCATCCTGGACAATTTTTTATATAAAGATAGGATGTTTTTCTAAACTATTTGTTTCTGGGGACATTTTTGGGGAAGTCTGTGTAATATAGCTGGACAGAAGATTTGATCCCAGTGGTCCCTTTTGACTTTGGAATCTATGAATTCTGAACCATAATGTGCCATTAAAGCCCCCTATAAGTACTACACAGACATCTGTTGGGTGGCAATTACAGCTACTGTAGAACCTCAGCATTACAAACTCACTGATCAACCACACGTCTCGTACACACAAGCAAGTGTCGCACGGTGTTAAACGTAAACTAGTAAAAATATAAAGGGAAAGTTAAAAAAAGATTTGACAAGGTAAGGAAACTGTCTCTGTGCTTGTCTTGTTTAAGTTAAGCTGTCTAAAAGCAGCATTTTTCTTCTTCATAGTACAGTTTCAAAGCTGTATTAAGTCCATGTTGAGTTGTACTCTTTTGAAAAAATAGCCATAACATTTTGCTCAGAGTTACAAACAACCTCCATTCCTGAGGTGTTCATAATGCTGAGGTTCATTAAACAGCTTCCCCAGATGTATTATAAAGAACCACCCTGTTATAGAGAAGATAGGAAATCTACCTTGACAAGAAGCAATCCTGAATCTAGCTCTTACCTATTAGGATTGATTGGACACATGATATTTATGTGATATTATTGACTGTGGGCTACTTCGGTGTAACCTGCTGAGGAACGGTTTAATAGACCACCGGGTATTCCGTTCAAGGAAGTCTACCTTGGGAGCTGAGAAACTTGGAGTTTGCTTCAACTCCTATTAAAGTCAATCAGTATTTTATTGACTTCAGTGGTAATTGGACGAGGCATTGGGCCAGGATGGTGCTGTGAGAGTGTGATTTGAAGTATTCATTCTGATGGCTTAAGAGTGAGTGCTATGCACTGCAAAATGACAAAAGGACAAAATTAATCCTGAGCCAGATCCAAAAACTGGCCCATTGAACTATTTCTACTAAAAATATCTTAAAATGTATAAATTAGACATAGTCTTGAGTCAGATTATAATCTTACTTGCACTGGTTTAAAACCAATGTCACTCCATTGGCTTTTCTTTCCTGATGCTGTTGTAACTAATGGGAGAATCAGCATAACAGAATGAAAGGAGTTTGTAACAAATGTAAATGATCCAGTGTTGTTCTGTATTCGTTTGCATCTCCCCTGATTTTAGCTATTTTCAGATTTATTATCTTAATTCTGCAAAATCAGAGCTCATTTACACTACAGGATCTATTTCAGCGCAAGTATATTGGCTTAACCCTGGGTGTGTCTAGACTACATGGCTCCGTCGACAGAGCCATGTAGATGAGTTTACTAGACATAGCAAAATGAAGCGGCGATTTAAATAATCGCGGCTTCATTTACATCAAAATGGCCGCCGCGCTGTGCCGATCAGCTGATTGTTGGCACAGCGCGGTAGTCTAGACGGGGATCAGCCGACCCCAGAACCCTTTGTCGTCAGATCCTGTAAGCCTCGTTTCACAAGGCATAAAGAATCTGATGACAAAGGGTTCTGGAGTCGGCTGATCCCCATCTAGACTACCTTGCTGCACTGGCAATCAGCTGATTGGCACAGCGCGGCGGCCATTTTGATGTAAATGAAGCGGCGATTATTTAAATCACCGCTTCATTTTGCTATGTCTAGTAAACTCATCTACGTGGCCCCGTCGACGCAGCCATATAGTCTAGACACACCCCCTGTTTGTAGATGCAGTGTAAGATGATAGGAGGAGGAGGAGATCTTTGCTTGTATCTGAATGACATTAGCAATGCCAACAGAAGTTCCTTTCTGTCAGCATAGCTGCATCTACACTGTGGGGTTTTCTAGACATAGCTCTGTTGGGAGGTGTGTGGTTTTTTTCATTCCGGCAGTAAAAGTTTTAGGTATAGACTAGGCCTCTTTTTCAACATCCTATGAAATAACACGGCTTGCCTATGATATGAATTCCCTTTCTTCTGTCTGCTAATCTCTGTTGGTCATTAATGGTGTCAATCTCTGCAATGCTTTTGATAAACTGGGTGCTAAGCTCAGTGCTTGATATAAGTTTTGTGACTGGTTCTAAGTAAATCACAAGAGAAAAGTATTCTTACTGATGATTCCGGTGCAGGGAGGAAAGCCATCAAGAAATTGGTGGGGCTTCCCTTTAGGATCAGAAGGCTGTTTTTCTGAGCTTGTGTGGGACCAGGGTCCGGCTGTCCAGATACAAGATGGTAATGGTCAGCCCTGGGTGTCTCTAGACAGGGCAAAGTCGTGGATCTTGGGGAAGGGAGGAGAGAAGTTCTTCAGGGAGTTGTGGTGGGTATGGCAATGAAAGATGGGAAATTCCAGGAGGACATGCATATGGGGTTTTATAGCAGGCACAGCCAAGTGCTGCAAGAGGGACAATGCATCAGGGATATTTTTTTGTGGAACAGCGCTCCTGAGGGGTCCCCAATGCAGGGCATTGATGGGGGGAGGCAGTCTATTGGTCCAAACTTGCAAGAAGCTGAATGTCCTTCACTCCCATTATCTTCAGTGGGAATCAAGGGATCGCTGGCCAGTGCAGGGGGCATTCAGCACCACAGGGACCCTATGGGGAGACTCCAGAATGACCTTGCTGAAGAGTTTCTACAGGGGGAGGGGATAGGGCAGTGAATTGGGGAGTCTACTTGGGGCTGTTCTGGTGGAGCCAGGGGAAGGGCTCTGCAGAGGGGGCCTTACAGTGGAATGCAGAATTATTGTGGGAGCTGAATGGGAGAAAATAGCATGTGTGTCTATATCTGAGAGCAGAGTGGGACATGCTTAATGGGGTGTAGGAGTCCATAAGGTCTGTAAGGGAAAGGTTTGTGCAGCAAATAATAAGCCACAGCTTGTTAGAGAGACAAGGTGGGTGAGTTAATGTCTTTTATGTTGCCACTGTGCTATCCATGTGGTACTTTTCTCCAGCCCACCATTTAGCTCTGGAACGAGTTTAATAAATATGTTATTCCCGAGACTGGCCAGAGTTGCAAACTTTGCTCCTAAATCTCAACTTTCGCTAGCTCCAAGGTTGTTTGGGTCAGGCATGTGTGCTTGGGCTCATATCCTTGTGGCACACAGTTCTTTGTCGGGCTAGTTTCCGCGCAATAGTCAGGGGAGTGCCAAATGAACAAAGGAAAATGCTGAGAACCCAAATCCGTTAGCGATTGAGGATGAGTTACTACAACAGCTCTGTTGTTGTCATTCATAGTAGCATCCCACCAGTGCAGAAATGTGCTTGATTAGGGTTAACTTAACTGAATCAAACTCAGAGCCCTGTGGTTGGAAGTCTTCCCAGTCAACTCTCAACAGCCACATACCATGGTGTGAGACGAAGCGAAAAGGGAGATGAACGCTTTTCAGAAAAACAAATCCAAGGAAACTTTCTTCACTTTTATTCCTGCAGGAGATGACCCCCCCAAAACAGCTTTCTCTTCTCGGAAAAAGGTCCCAGTGAGTATTACATCTGGCTTCTCTTTTTTTGCTTGCTGTTTCGTTCACTCCAAACCTTGCAGGATCTCTCTGTTCCTTCCCTGTCATGCTGTTCCTGCAGACAGACACTCCTTCTTGCCTCAGATTGGAATGAGTACTAAAAACTCAAAACAAAATCCCCTCTGCTAACCTGATTAAATTAAGAAAAGGCAGCTTATGTGGGAAAATGAGCTATCAGTTTCTTTGGGAAATGCAGGTTTGATTCCTGCTTTTTTCCTGAAGGCTCTTTCTATTGCTGGATGGTTTCTTTGAAATAAAGATTTAGAGGT